TTTTCTAACTTTCTAGCAATTTCCAATTGTTTTTAGTCAAATTTGATAACGTTAGTAAGGGAGAGGGGGAGGCAGGATGTTACGTCCACGATCAAAGCATTATATTCCCACACTCGTACCTCAGACATCACTACGGCGGAGGCAGATAAGACGTCTCTTGCCCCTCCAAAATAACTTTTTTTTTCCCTCCCGTGTATCTTAGAAATTTCATACGGAAAATCTTTATCACCAAAAATACTATTTTACATAAACTACACTTTATATTTTCAGAAATAAAGCCGTATATGATGACTTATTTATGACTTATTGACTTATATGATAAAATAAAGCCATATATGATGACTGATTCATGACTAATTTACTTATATGATAAAATAATGTCATATATGATGACTGATTTATGAGGAATTGACTTATATGATAAAATAAAGCCATATATGATGACTGATTCATGACTTATTGACGTATATAAAATAAAACCATATATGATGACTGAGTTACTTCAGTTTCTTTACTATGGATCAGGGGACTGAGAGCACACTTTTCTATACTGCTGCACTAATTCCACACCATCTTGACAGTCTCCATAACTGAGAATGGAGGCAAGATGGAGCCAGGATTACCATCCCAGTGAGTCAGCTGAGTCACGAACCAACTCTCCCGACTATACTGAGACCAGTACCACCTGTGCCAGTACACACACACCTGTGCCAGTACACACACACCTACACACACACACACACACACACACACAGCAGTCGTGTGTGTGTGTACAACCACGCGAGTCACGACACACCCTGTGGCCACACCACTAACGTTAACTACTCCATACTGGCGACGAAACTACTCTCATCTGAAGAGCAGAGCTGGTCAGTGTGGGGGAGAATGGGGGGGAAGAGGAGGGGGTAAATAGGAGGTTAGCAGAAGGGGGGGGGAAGGGGGGGACTGTAGCATTGGGGGGCTGAGGGAGGGGAAGGACAAAGAACTGAACGACTGACATCAATTAAACAATACATCATCTAATCATCATCTAATCATCACAATTCATATCTAAAGGAACACACACAATATGTAAATCACATATATGACTTATGAATACCGATGAAAAACAGCAAGAATCTGAAATCGTGGGTTCTGATTGGCCGAGGAGGGCGATTTAATATTGGTTCTTATTGGTGGTTGGAGTGTGAGGTGGAGCAGACCAGCGTCCCTATAGGCTCTCTCACCAATCCGTCCTCTCACCTAATTGGTCGCATTTGTTAAGGAATCGACCAATTTGATAAAAATGCGACGAATTAGTAAAAAAAAACTTAACCACCGTAATATTAACGTTGTTTATGCATCAACCGATTAGTGAAGTGGGATGCCTGGCTTCGTACACTTCAGGGGGCCAGATTCACGAAGCAGTTACGCAAGTACTTACGAACGTGTACATCTTTCCTCAATCTCTGACGGCTTTGGTTACATTTATTAAACAGTTTACAAGCATGAAAATTTCCAAATCAACTGTTGTTATTGTTATAAACAGCCTCCTGGTGCTTTGGAGCTCATTAACTGTTTAATAATTGTAAACAAAGCCACCAAAGATTGAGAAAAGATGGACAGGTTCATAGGTGCTTGTGTAACTGCTTCGTGAATCTGGTCCCCTGGTTGGGCAAAACAACTGCATTTTTTACGGAGTGGTAAACCGAGAGAACGGGTTGTCAGCCAGAGGCTCCAGTTGTCGTAAACCAAACTGTACCTGCTTGTTAAGACTCGCAGTAAATGTCTATTACAGACAGACAACATCTCCCTGAGATGTTTACCTTTACGGTAAACCAACATTCTCACTCATTCTTAAGGTAAACCAACAGACGAAAGGAAACATCAACACACATCAAACACGACACATAGAGCGCAAAGATATAAAACACAGGACAACAGTATAAACAGGACTAACAGACAGGACAACAGTATAAACAGGACTAACAGACAGGACAACAGCGTTGTCCATTGTGTAAGAGTACAGTGCTATCCACACAGTGAGTGTACAGTGCTATCCACACAGTGAGTGTACAGTGCTATCCACACAGTGAGTGTACAGTGCTATCCACACAGTGAGTGTACAGTGCTATCCACACAGTGAGTGTACAGTGCTATCCACACAGTGAGTGTACAGTGCTATCCACACAGTGAGTGTACAGTGCTATCCACACAGTGAGTGTACAGTGCTATCCACACAGTGAGTTTACAGTGCTATCCACACAGTGAGGTTACAGTACTATCCACATAGCGGGAGTACAGTACTATCCACATACTAAGGTACAGTACGGTACACAGTCGCCAACATCGTCCACATGAAGAACAAGCCTGCGGTACAGAGTCGTGCCTACAGAACGTAACAGAACCAAACAGATCACAGGTGTACACAGGCACCAACCTTAATGACTCACCAGCACATTATAGACACCTAGAGGGGGGGATCACGTGACTGATGCCACTTGCTGGCACTCACAGAACGACTGTCTCAGACTCTCCTAACATGGGACATATTGTACCTTAATCGGTTTACAGATTACTGCCGTTTCTCGCAACGTATCAAATCCTTGATTGTATGTAGCATACAGCCAGGTTCTGTATTAGAAACCCTGGACTGTATGCTGCATATCGCCAGGTTCTGTTTCGCCTGATGTTGCATGATGGATTATGTTGTTACGACCGCCTTTTGAGTGAAGTCTAAATATAGTGTCAACCAGTTGTCACAATGGCTGAAGGCTTCGGGGTCCCGTTGATCCTGATAAGCACTCTCACGCTTGATGCAAATGACAGCCATAGAGGTTTTTGGTCATATTGTTGACCTAGGGCGAGAGGGAGTAGCACGGGAGAGAGGGAGTGGCACGGGAGAGAGGGAGTAGCACGGGAGAGAGGGAGTGGCACGGGGCCAGAAGAATTGGAACAAGGTCAGAGGGAGTGGCACAGGATCACAGGAAGTGACAGAGGGTCAGGGGGAGTGACATAGTGCCAGACGGAGAGACATAGGGCCTGAGGGAGTGACAGAGGGGTCACAGGGAGTGACAGAGGGGTCACAGGGAGTGACACAGGGCCAGAGTGACACAGGGCCAGATATGACACATCTGAGTCTCAAGCTTCCATCCACGCCCTCTAGTTCTATTGGTATTCAAAGTGAACACTTCCTCTTTTCCCATCGTCAATCCTCTTAAGTATCTTATACGTCTCAATCATGTCTCCTCTCTCTTCTTTTCAAGCATTAAGTTTAGATCGTACAGTCTCTCTTCATTCCCCATACCTTACAAACCTTAGAGGAGTCTCGTTGCAAACTTCTGAACTTTCCCCAGATTTCTTATATAAATATTTTTAGACGGGGCTCCACGATCGGGCGGCATACTCTAAGACTGGTCTCACGTAGGTGGTGTACAGAGATCTAAAGGCCTCCTTACTTATGTTCCTCAAAGATATTATGATTTTTGCTAGAATAGAGTATGCTGCTAATGTTAGTTTATTTAAATGAACCTCCGTAGTTAGGTTTGGTGTTAACTCCACTCCCAGGTCCTTTTTTCTAGTCGTTATAGGGAGGTTGTTTCCCTTCATTGTGTATGTTTCGTTTCCTGTCACCTGTTCCCATTTCCATCACCTTACACTTGGTGGTGTTAAACTCAAATAGCCTGACTGACCAATTGTGTACCCTGTTTAAGTCATGTTTAAGAATCGTCTGCAGAAGTTGACACATACGACTCAACTACTGTAGATAAGCATGTGTGCGTTCTCACCTACTTGTACTTACCTATTTGTGCCTTCATGATCGAACTTAAACTCTTGAACCCTGCCTCTCCAGTTGCCGGTTGTCCCATACAAAGTTTCCGACCTATTTTTCAATCATATATATATATATATATATATATATATATATATATATATATATATATATATATATATATATATATATATATATCTATATATATATATATATATATATATATATATATAGATCTATATATATATATATATATATATATATATATATATATATATATATATATATATATATATATATATATATATATATATATATATATATATATATATCTTAAAAATCAGGAAGAGACAAGCGCCCCGCCAACGATTTGGTCTGGTTCGAATCCTGGCTGGGAGGATTAACTGGGTAGAAATCCTTCACGGTTCGCCCCTGTTCACCCAGCAGTAATTGGGTACCTGGTTGTGAAACGATTGGCGGGTCATATACCAGGGGAAACTATAGTGGATAAAAGTCTTACCAAGAGCTATGGGAAGAGAAAGTACTCATATTGAAGGGATATTGAAGCCGTCCAGTCTACAGGAACACAAATACCTTCTGCACACTCATAGATTATAGGGAGCTTGCTTGGCTTCGTATGTTTCTGATTACACTAAACAGATGCATTTTTAAAGAAGCTACGAAGCGAGAGAAGTAACTTCTGAGTTGCAAGTCTGATTGTTAACGGTAATTGCATACACCTACCTTACCTTGAGGCTACATTGAGGTGATTCCGAGGCTCAACGACCCCGCGGCCCGGTCTTCGACCAGGCCTCCTTGTTGCTGGACTGGTCAACCAGGCTGCTGGACGCGGCTGCTCGCAGTCTGACGTATGTGTCACAGCCTGGTTGATCAGGTGAATACCTGTTGACAATTTCGACAATTCTATCGTAGCCTCTACCTAGTGAGTGCCTGGTCAAGGGGGCTATTTGTTTCCCAAGTCAGCATGGCCACATAGTCATCACAGCCAAACTGATCTGGTAACTCCAGCAGGAAATATTCAAGTTCCCTCATGAAGGCTTGTGCAGTTCTTCAACTGTTCAAGCCACATTTCTACATAAGCCACCAACGTGTTAAGGTTCATTAAGAACAAGTCACACTATCACAACACACCAAGAATGCCATAATTAGTTGCAAATTAGAAGCGTATTTAAATAGCATTTAGTTGCAGAGGCAAAGTGTTAGTTGTGTGATCTGCAGTTATACTGACCCGGACGTCTCAGTGCTGTTGGCTGCTCTATTTACTCTGGAAAATGAAAAGTGGGTGTGATCAACACTGTTATATGGAGGCGGGTGTACACTTGGTCGAGGGGGTGAGATGTGTACTCGCTGGGGGGGGGGGGTGTTGTACACTTTTGTGGGGAATGGGTGTTACACACTTGGTGAAGATGTTGTACACTTGGTGAGTGGAGGTGTTGGACAGTTGGTGGGGGAAGATTATTGTCGGGGTTGTGGGGCGGGGAGGGGTTGTGGGGGCGGAGAGGGGCTGTATGGGGGCGGGGAGGGGCTGTGTGGGGGCGGGGAGGGGCTGTGTGGGGGCGGGGAGGGGCTGTGTGGGGGCGGGGAGGGGCTGTGGGTCGGGGAGGGGCTGTGGGGGTCGGGGAGGGGCTGTGGGGGCGGGGAGGGGCTGTGGGGGGGCGGGGAGGGGCTGTGGGGGCGGGGGAGGGGGCAAATAAATTTATCCACCTTCATGGAGAGTTGGCAGGAAGAAGTATACATGCAATTGTGTTGTCATGTTGATAGATAGTTTGTATGCATCAGTTCTGAGAGCACCTGTGGTGTGGCCAGCACCTGTGGTGTGGCCAGCACCTGTGGTTGGTGGTGGTGTGGCCAGCACCTGTGGTTGGTAGTGGTGTGGCCAGCACCTGTAGTGTGGCCATCACTATCAACGACCACAACATAGTACAATGTGTATATAACAACTATGTAACGCTAACATTTTACAATACATAGAGATTACGATAATTCTTAAGCAATATCAAGAATTATTATAAATACGATTTATTAGGCCTAATACATAGGCCTCCCCCCCCCACCCGCTCCCTCTCCCTCTCTCTCCCGTAGAGCAGTGGGCTGCGCGATCGAGTCACAACCGATGGTTCGCTGCAGGGCAGGGAACGTTTCGAAACCTTTTGCCTGATGCCTCTGTCTACCTGCTAGTAAATAGGTACCTGGGAGATACACAACTGTTGTGGGGTTCCATCCTGAGAAAGGTGTCAGTTGTTGGCCTCGGGGGGGGGGGGATTTCGGTAAGATCAGCAGGCTTCCTGTCCCCCGAGACTGGGATAATAGCCCTATGAGGGAAGTATGGTCAGGCGCCCTTGAGAGTGCCACACTACACGTGGCACTCACTGTAGAGGGTGGCCCCCGGTGGTGGCCCCCGGTGGTGGCCCCGGCACCGGGCCACCAACATGGTCCAGGGTGTGGCCACCCCCCCCCCCCCCACACACACACTGCTACATTACCCTTGGTCATAATCATATCATGTACTTATACATGTGTGTGTGTGTGTGTGTGTGTGTGTGTGTGTGTGTGTGTGTGTGTGTGTGTGTGTGTGTGTGTGTGTGTGTGTGTGTGTGTGTTAACGTAGGAAGCAGAGGTGGCGGAAGCCACCTCAACCTTCAACCTTCCAACACAAACTCCCTCAGAAGAACCTTGCTATACATCCTACTCGTTCACGTCTGCGACCTCTGCCTTCTCTTTTGATCACCCCCTTGTTGACACAAACTATCCTTACCTATCGCATATATTTCCCTCAGTATCCTGTACGTGGTGATCATGTCTTCTCTGGTCCATCTGTCTTTTGATGTTACCAGAGTAAACGTCCTTTAACCTGCCTTCATAGCTGCCAGCAGTGTTGGAGCATTGTTGCAGCAGTGTTGCAGCAGTGTTGGAGCAGTGTTGCAGCAGTGTTGGAGCAGTGTAGGAGCAGTGTTGCAGTATGGCAGGCGTCCGGTGTTAAGCGAGGTGGGTGGTTCCATAACAGGGTCGTTTAACCTAGAACTGGAGGCTGTGTGTAACCTTCTGAACGCTGCCTCTCTCTCTCTCCATGTTTGTGAAGGGTCTGTGTGTGTCTGTCAGTCTGGCGGAAACTGTTGGAGTTATTAGGTTTACATCCATCTCCGGTCTTGATGCCGCTGTCATCGACACGCTGTCAGCCTGTAAACCAACAGTTTAAGAAGTCAGCAGCCACCTGTTCGGTCGATCTAACTCCCTGTAAACACACAACGTAACGGTCCCTATGATTCCCTTGTTACAACTTGTACTAAAGTTGTTTACATCTTGTTATGACGTTTTTATGACGTTGTTAGAACGTTGTTACAACTTGTTAGGTGTTGAAAGTTGTTCGAATGTTGTAGCAATGTTTCGCCGCGTGTTTGGCGATGGACCTTGCCATTTGACCAACGCCAAATGTGAAGTGTGGTGTGTCTGGGCAGACGCGGACGGGTCGTGGCCACCAACCTATAACCTCTCTATGCCGGTGCCTCAGCGTCCAACGCAGCGTTGATATTACGGTGCGTTCAGTAGTGTAACGCGTTCAGTAGTAGTAGCGTTCAACAGCGTATCGTATAACGGGAGAAAAATCGTAACATCAGCTTCCTCTAAATGCTGGAAGCAAGACAATCGTATCTATAAGGGAGCATATCTATTTACCTGTCCAAGTTTAGAGGCGGGACCTTTCGGCCTGTCCACTCCACTTGCAGGAGGACTAGTGAGGGGTAGGTGACCATCATAGGGCGACGTTGTGGATTCGAACCGGGATGCTCGATTCTTTCTTCGGTACTTTCAGTCACCAATCAACAGTACTATATTCAGTTGACTGATTATTTATGCATATGGGAGATATGCTCCATATATTATTTGTGCATATGGAAGATATGCTCCATATATTATTTGAGCATATGGGAGATATGCTCCATATATTATTTGTGCATATGGGAGATATGCTCCATATGTTATTTGTGCATATGGGAGATATGCTCCATATATTATTTGTGCATATGGGAGATATGCTCCATATATTATTTGTGGATATGGGAGATATGCTCCATATATTATTTGTGCATATGGAAGATATGCTCCATATATTATTTGAGCATATGGGAGATATGCTCCATATATTATTTGTGCATATGGGAGATATGCTCCATATATTATTTGTGCATATATTGATCACTTGTGTCAAGGTCACCAAGGGTTACAAAGACCCACGACGAGGGGGCAACAAAGGTAAACATGAGGTCATGAAGCAGGTGAGGTCATGAAGCAGGTGAGGTCATGAAGCAGGTGAGGTCATGTGCCCTACACATAAAATACTTGGCAGGGCCGCTGGTGGCTGGCCCAGCCAACGCTCTCAACACACCACGTCTCAGTAGCGGTACTAGCAACAACAGCAGTGGGTGCTGCAGCATTAGTAGCAACATCAGCACTAGTAACTGCAGCACTAGCAGCAGCATTAATAGCATCAGCAGCACTAGTAACAGCAGCACTAGCAGCAGCATTAATAGCATCAGCAGCACTAGTAACAACATTAATAGCTACAGCAGAACTAGCAACAGCATTACAAGCAAGAGCACATTAATAGGAACAGTAGCACTAGTAATAGTAGTACTAGCAAGAACAGCACTAATAACAGTAGTACTAGCAAGAACAGCACTAGTAACAGTAGTACTAGCAAGAACAGCACTAGTAACAGTAGTACTAGCAAGAACAGCACTAGTAACAGTAGTACTAGCAAGAACAGCACTAGTAACAGTAGTACTAGCAAGAACAGCACTAGTAACAGTAGTACTAGCAAGAACAGCACTAGTAACAGTAGTACTAGCAAGAACAGCACTAGTAACAGTAGTACTAGCAAGAACAGCACTAGTAACAGTAGTACTAGCAAGAACAGCACTAGTAACAGTAGTACTAGCAAGAACAGCACTAGTAACAGTAGTACTAGCAAGAACAGCACTAGTAACAGTAGTACTAGCAAGAACAGCACTAGTAACAGTAGTACTAGCAAGAACAGCACTAGTAACAGTAGTACTAGCAAGAACAGCACTAGTAACAGTAGTACTAGCAAGAACAGCACTAGTAACAGTAGTACTAGCAAGAACAGCACTAGTAACAGTAGTACTAGCAAGAACAGCACTAGTAACAGTAGTACTAGCAAGAACAGCACTAGTAACAGTAGTACTAGCAAGAACAGCACTAGTAACAGTAGTACTAGCAAGAACAGCACTAGTAACAGTAGTACTTGCAAGAACAGCACTAGTAACAGTAGTACTAGCAAGAACAGCACTAGTAACAGTAGTACTAGCAAGAACAGCACTAGTAACAGTAGTACTAGCAAGAACAGCACTAGTAACAGTAGTACTAGCAAGAACAGCACTAGTAACAGTAGTACTTGCAAGAACAGCACTAGTAACAGTAGTACTAGCAAGAACAGCACTAGTAACAGTAGTACTAGCAAGAACAGCACTAGTAACAGTAGTACTAGCAAGAACAGCACTAGTAACAGTAGTACTTGCAAGAACAGCACTAGTAACAGTAGTACTAGCAAGAACAGCACTAGTAACAGTAGTACTTGCAAGAACAGCAATAGTAACAGCAAAAGCCTTAATAGAAACAACAGCACTAGCAACTGCAGCAGCAGCACCAACAGCAGGAAGGAAGCAGGAACAGCAGTGGAAGCAGCATCAGCAGCAGTGGAAGCACCTGGATAACATTCATTAACAAATACCTGGATTGTTCCAATCCCATTACAGCGAGACACTTCACTGACCTTCAAATGAAAAAGTAAAAAGCTTTACTATTTTCATCAATCATGAAGCATCCAGAAATATCATACGGTATCCTAGCAACCAGAGATGACACACGGTACCCCTAGCAACCGGAGATGTCATCCAGCATCCAAGCAACTTAAGATGTTCTCACCTGATGCTCTGAACCCTCGGATAGCTAGCTGTTAAGGGGATTAAGGACTACCTTATTGGTCATCACCACGTAGCTATGTAGTCAAACCAAGAGTTGAAGCTGGGAACGGAGTCAACTCCCTCAACTGACCCAGTTCCCCTCCAAGACGACCAAGAAATAGTTCCTTGTGTCCCTCTGACTCATCTGACATTCCGTTTCCCACCTGTATTATCCCGTTCTGTCGCTGAAATTTTCCCCTCTCTGCTTTATTTTTACCTCTTGCCATTAGATCTCCCATGGGGGTCTTCTCCTCGGCGGCCGTATGATGTTCAGAGCTCTTAAGCAGCGTTCATAGTCCATGTCTCGTATTTCTGATGTCAATCGTATTGTAAAATTCTGAAGTTTTTCAGTTTAGACTTGAGTAGGTCGGTGGTACATATCGTGTACTGAACCAGATTACTGGTGGACCGAATGATGAGTTTTTAGTGGAGGTACACGTGTGAGTGATTGTATAGATGATTATCATACGCATGTATGATTACTGTAACAATCATCCGTGCGTGTAAAGGGCGTCCATGTGTGTGTGTATTCACCTAATTGTGCTTGCGGGGGTTGAGCTCTGGCTCTTTGGTCCCGCCTCTCAACCGTCAATCAACAGGTGTACAGGTTCCTGAGGGGTACAAGGTGTGTGTGTGTGTGTGTGTGTGTGTGTGTGTGTGTGTGTGTGTGTGTGTGTGTGTGTGTGTGTGTGTGTGTGTGTGTGTGTGTGTGTGTGTGTGAGCGCCCATGCGTTCGGGTGAGGACACGCGCGCGCGTTTGAGGGCTGACATATGGTTGGCAATGGTTGTCTCCCATCTCCCCTCTACTGGGGTCTCCCCCCCCCCCCCCCACCCCTCACTCATCTCCAACAACTAATGATCACGTCTAGCGTTAACTGTTGATCACACCTACTCCTCGTCTGCGTTAACATAGGCGTTCTGGGGCGTCGGCAGCCCGTCAGGGACGCTCCCTATCTCATTTCAGGATCATTTATGGGTTTGTGCTTTCGGAGGCTGAGGGCGGATACTCCCTCGCTCCAAAGACACTTGACTCTGTTCGTCTTTGAGAAGGGTTAATTACCGCAAATTGCAATCACAGAAGTTTTACGATAATTCTAAAATTTAAAGAAGAACCAATATGTTGTAAATTTCATGATAAGGAAGATATTTTTGTTTTAATTTACTCTGGATTGGTGAGAACTCACCTGACGCTGGTTTGAACATTGACGAAAGCCATGGGAGCTGTTGAGACAGAGCAGGAGTCGCTCTCTCGCAGTCTTCATCCGTCTCCACCTCCAGCAGCGGCGGCGGCCGGCCACCACCAGCCACCAAACACCTGAGGATTGTTTGAGGCGCAGAGTAATCCTTTAAACCAACTGTCGATCCTCGTTGTAAACAGATCCAAGAATGTAAATCTCCTTCGGCGAATTTCTAATAGTGGACGACACTATTCTAGAGCGGCGGGTGGCCAGTGGGGCAAGCGACGGCCCGTAGTGACATCACCGGTCAAGAGACAAACACGGTGGGTCTAGTATGGCACAGAAACACATACATACACACACACACTTGGCCGCACGACACAGCCTTGCCCGCACCACACTCGTTATATCACTGGCCTCTGTGACTGGCCGCGGCCCGCCTGCCCGACCAACACACTCTGGCCTCAACACAATTCTAGCATTTTTTGCCACCGAAGAACTGTGCCAGTAATCCTCTTCACCGCAACTCCATGGATCTTCTCGTCGGAGGTCACTCGGTTACGGGGGCGAGGAAGCCCTCGGGTTGCAGCGAGGAAACGGAAGTAAAGTGAAACTTTCTCTTTGCGCCGGGGGTATGTTTCTGTGTCACACTCTGCATGGGTACTACTGCCCGTGCCACAGCCGCCCTGGTACACCCTCCCCAGTTCCACTACACCGGACACGCTGCATCTACCCACCACTGGTAGATGCGTCGACCACCCACCACAGAAGCGGCGCTACACACTGCCACCCATCCCATGCCCGTCTTCACCGACACTGTGCCACTGACAACATGCTGGCACCCCCTCACCCCGTCACCCCCTCCTTCTAGATACTGCTTGTGGGGTGGTGGGGGTGCTTGCGGTCGCCAACTCATTCACTGACGGATTAGATCAACTCATTCGCCGAAAGAAACAGCAGAATTTAAACCACGCTTCAATTATTAGTTATCTCGAGCCCACACAATGGAGCACAGTTCGGCAGTTACAGTCAGGGGTAATTACTGCAGAAGAGACCGGCGCAATATTAATGCATACTTAAACTAGATCAGCAACATGCGACATAAACACATATACAGTAGGACAGAATGTTACTAAGAACCGCATGATTAAAATAGCTTCACTTAGAACCCGCGAGAATAAATATTTACAGTGTGAGGCAGGAGTTGATGACCCTAGTGTGAGGGGCAGGCAGGAGTTGATGACCCTAGTGTGAGGGGCAGGCAGGAGTTGATGACCGGAGTGTGAGGGGCAGGCAGGAGTTGATGACCCTAGTGTGAGGGGCAGGCAGGAGTTGATGACCCTAGTGTGAGGGGCAGGCAGGAGTTGATGACCCTAGTGTGAGGGGCAGGCAGGAGTTGATGACCCTAGTGTGAGGGGCAGGCAGGAGTTGATGACCCTAGTGTGAGGGGCAGGCAGGAGTTGATGACCGGAGTATGAGGACACAACACGAGGGCAGAGCTTAACTCATAAAACATGAGGCCCACAATATGTTGCTATGAGAGGTGAGGAATGTGTTTGGTACGCACATATGAATATGTTGTAGAGGAGAGAGTTCTCTCAGAGGGGAGAGGAGACACCTCTCACAGAGGGGACAGGAGACACCTCTCACAGAGGGGAGAGGAGACACCTCTCACAGAGGGGAGAGGGTGAAGAGAGAGCTCTCACAATCAAACCAAATCTAACAATCAAAGCTAGGACCAGTAGACAACCAAACAGTCCAACAATTAAAACTAAGAAAATAACAATCAAGGGACGCACCAGCAGACAAACAACCCAACAATCAAGGGACGCACCAGCAGACAATCAAACAACCCAACAATCAAGGGACGCACCAGCAGACAATCAAACAACCCAACAATCAAGGGACGCACCAGCAGACAATCAAACAACCCAACAATCAAGGGACGCACCAGCAGACAATCAAACAACCCAACAATCAAGGGACGCACCAGCAGACAATCAAACAACCCAACAATCAAGGGACGCACCAGCAGACAATCAAACAACCCAACAATCAAGGGACGCACCAGCAGACAAACAAAACAACCCAACAATCAAGGGACGCACCAGCAGACAAACAAAACAACCCAACAATCAAGGGACGCACCAGCAGACAATCAAACAACCCAACAATCAAGGGACGCACCAGCAGACAATCAAACAACCCAACAATCAAGGGACGCACCAGCAGACAATCAAACAACCCAACAATCAAGGGACGCACCAGCAGACAATCAAACAACCCAACAATCAAGGGACGCACCAGCAGACAAACAAAACAATACCAATATGAGCGCAACATTAAATAAAAATAAAAATACAAATAAATGGCGCATGAATAGAGAAACAAGAGACAGAACAAACACCTGCCACACCTGCTTTACGCCACGTGTGCGCCTTCACACACCTGTCTCCATATAGGGAGCACGTGCTTCCATGTATACACATGTATGACATGCTCTCATATGCACACATGTGTAAGTGTACGTGTATTTGAAGAGTAAAAAGTAATTTTATGTATACGCAAAAGATGGTAGGCTCGACAGGCCTCGGTGTGACACAAGGTCAGGAGCACACACGGTGTGACACAAGGTCAGGAGCACACACGGTGTGACACAAGGTCAGGAGCACACACGGTGTGACACAAGGTCAGGAGCACACACGGTGTGACACAAAAGGTCAGGAGCACACACGGTGTGACACACAAGGTCAGGAGCACACACGGTGTGACACACAAGGTCAGGAGCACACACGGTGTGACACACAAGGTCAGGAGCACACACGGTGTGACACACAAGGTCAGGAGCACACACGGTGTGACACAAGGTCAGGAGCACACACGGTGTGACACACAAGGTCAGGAGCACACACGGTGTGACACAAGGTCAGGATCACACACGGTGTGACACAAGGTCAGGAGCACACACGGTGTGACACACAAGGTCAGGAGCACACACGGTGTGACACAAGGTCAGGAGCACACACGGTGTGACACAAGGTCAGGAGCACACACGGTGTGACACACAAGGTCAGGAGCACACACGGTGTGACACAAAAGGTCAGGAGCACACACGGTGTGACACAAGGTCAGGAGCACACACGGTGTGACACACAAGGTCAGGAGCACACACGGTGTGACACACAAGGTCAGGAGCACACACGGTGTGACACAAGGTCAGGAGCACACACGGTGTGACACAAGGTCAGAAGCACACACGGTGTGACACACAAGGTCAGGAGCACACACGGTGTGACACACAAGGTCAGGAGCACACACGGTGTGACACACAAGGTCAGAAGCACACACGGTGTGACACACAAGGTCAGGAGCACACACGGTGTGACACACAAGGTCAGGAGCACACACGGTGTGACACACAAGGTCAGGAGCACACACGGTGTGACACAAGGTCAGGAGCACACACGGTGTGACACACAAGGTCAGGAGCACACACGGTGTGACACACAAGGTCAGGAGCACACACGGTGTGACACAAGGTGAGGAGCACACACGGTGTGACACACAAGGTCAGGAGCACACACGGTGTGACACAAGGTCAGAAGCACACACGGTGTGACACACAAGGTCAGGAGCACACACGGTGTGACACACAAGGTCAGGAGCACACACGGTGTGACACACAAGGTCACAAGCACACACGGTGTGACACACAAGGTCAGAAGCACATATTGATTTGCATCTGGAACATATTTGCCCAACCGGTTGATACGCGGGAGCTCAGGTCAACCGATCACATGAAGGCTCTGGCACACAGTTAGCTATACTGGCTCATCCTGTCCCCTTATATAATTGTTAAATTTAAATAAAGATATATTCCTAATGATTCAAATTACTGAAACGAAATATATGTCTCCAGGGGGGGGGGTGGGATGGAGGTTTCGAGATGGGCTGAGGTAGGAAAACAGTTTTCCTTACAGTTACACTAAGGAAACTCAATTGATAGCCTAAATGAACTCTAGCCTTAAACAAAAAATCCTAAATACTATTTATTTCTTATCATCAGTGTTCTTAAGTCTTATTTACTCCTCATCATCTGTGTTCCTGGGGCCAGATTCACAAAAGCACTTACGAACCTGTACATCTTTTCTCAATCTTTGGCGGCTTTGTTTCCAATTATTAAACAGTTAATGAGCTCCGAAGCACCAGGAGGCTGTTTATAACAATAACAACAGTTGATTGGAAAGTTTTCATGCTTGTAAACTGTTTAATAAATGTAAACAAAGCCGTCAAAGATTGAAGAAAGATGTACACGTTCGTAAGTGCTTGCGTAAGTGCTTTCGTGAATCTGGCCCCCTGGGTCCTATTTACTGAAGCCGTAAAGAAAACGACTCATCCCCTCGACTGGGAGACCATCTTAGTGGGGATTGTAGCAGAAAACGTAAATCCATCTTGGGAACACAAAAACCTCGCTATCATGGTAGCTGTCACCGTCTGACACCCTTACTGTCATACACACTCTAAGTCACCAGGCGCCTCACAGGGCCTGGGCGCCACACACACACACTCATACACTCACACGCACGCACGCAAACACCACAAACAACACGCACAAACACCCCGACGCACCCACCCACACACCAGGTACGTGTGGTTGTGGAGTGGTAATGTTTTTATTCAGCATTTCTCTTGTTATGGTAATGTCAAGGGCTTCTCTCAAGTGATCTTTTCACCTGCCCTTAAACATCGCCCAACAAGAGAAATGCCGACTAATAACACTTGCATATTAGACCAAACCCAAGATGTAAGAAGATCTACATAGTCTTGAAGCCCTTCACGTAAAAAGTCGAACAACCCCACACTAACTACTCAAATAACGGAACCACTCACACTACCCACCATGAGAGTGGGAGAGAAGGACCGGAATGCCAAGATGCCAACCATGGCACCATGCCCACTACGGTCACCTGAGTTCCAAACACCTGACTGGTCAATGTTTACAGGTCCCTGGTACCAGGTACAATATGCAGGTACCTGACCTAATATATATATATATATATATATATATATATATATATATATATATATATATATATATATATATATATATATATATATATATTATATATATATATATATATATATATATATATATATATATATATATATTAGGGGATATAAATCCGGTGTTCCCTACCGTCTCTTATTTTTCAAGTTACAGCCCCGCTCCTGTGCCAGGAAAGTCCACTACGGCTCACCATAGCCCGTGCTACTTGGAACGTTTTGTTCCCAGTAGCTGAATCTAAAACAACAAACTGTCTCTTCACTTGAGAATGAACCTTGTAGGTTCGAAACGTTGAGTAAATTATAAAAAGTATAATATACAGTTATTTTGTATGTATAATATATAAATAATAAAGTATAATATATTATTTATTTTAGTTATTTTTTATTCTTTTAGTCAGTCTTGAACAAATATGACATCTAATACTCTCCAATAGTCCGGGACAGGAAGCCAGCTAGGGCCTAGGGAGCCAACAACTAGTGATGACCTTCCCCAGCATGTAACCTACAACAGTTGCCTAAATCCCAATACCTATGTACTGCTCGGTGAACAGTTGGATAGGTTTAAAAGAAACGTGCCCAACCGTTTCTGCCCCGCCTAGGAACTGGAGAAAGGATCATCAGTTATGAGCCACGGATGTAGACCACAGCGGTGAAAGGACCCGTATAGTGACTATGTGCTTCTCGTAATCCTTTCTTGGAAAGATATTTCATACATTCTTATATGTTT